TGTGCTCTTTGTGCCGTGGATGTAGGCCTTAGTGGCTGAACCACATAATATCCTTGTGTTCTTCGTGTTTCATTCCTCTCTTTACTTCTATTTTATGCTTTACAACATGGTATCAGAGCCTAATTTCTCTTCCTAGGTTCGGACCCCTATTTTGGGATATTCCCTTAGCATCTGAAATGTTGCTAAGGGTTTCTTGGTGCTATTTGTGACTTGTTAGGGCTGCTGGTTTGTTCGGTGGTAATGTTCTTCGCCTTTGTCGTGTCTTCGACAGTTTTTGTTGACTTGTTTGGGCTGCCGGTGTGTTCGGTAGCATTGTCTTTGCCTTTACCGTGTCCTCGACAGTTTTTATCGACTTGTTTGGGCTGCCGGTGTGTTCGGTAGCATTGTCCTCGCCTTTGCCGTGTCTCCGGGAATTTTTTGTTGACTTGTTTGGGTTGTCACTTGTCGGTGTGTTCGGTAGCATTGTTCTTCGTCTTCTCTCTTTTTTTTCTTTTTTTTCCTAGTTGGTACTCACATACACTTGTCTCTTCTAAGATTTGAACTCCTGACCTCCCTTTGGGAGGTAAGAGGCTGATACCGCTAGGCCACTGGCCCGTTGGTTTAGTCTTCTCTCTTCATCATTCACACTTATCATCTCAATGTCAAGTTGGGCATTCATGCTCCAACTTAAGGGGGAGTATTGAAGATTTAATGGAGGAATCAGTGGAGGAAAATCTTTCAGGAATTAATGTTGTTTCCTATTATTGAGGATTTGGTGTTATTAGAGGAATCAGTGGAGAAAAATCCTCCTTGTTTCCTATTTTCTAATTCTTTTCATTCTCATAATTTCTTCTCCTATATAAAGGAGCCTCCATCATTGTATTGTATATGAATTAAGAGAGAATATATTATAAAGTGATGTAGCTCTTTGTGCTCTGTGCCGTGGATGTAGGCCATAGTGGCTGAATCACGTAATATCCTTGTGTTCTTCGTGTTTCATTTCTCTCTTCACGTCTGTTTTGTGCTTTACAACAGTTATTTCAATGTGAATCTTGTTAATTATCAAAGCATCATCGCGTTTCTTATCCTTCTCATTTATAACAAGCATCCAAACCATTTTATTTGATTCATAGTGATGTGTGGGGGCCTTCTCGGGTTACTAATGTGACTTGAACTAGGTGGTTCATCACTATCATTGATGACCATACTAGAGTGGTTGGGTATATCTTTTGAGAGAAAAATTTGAGGCTGCGAGAACGTTTAAAGAGTTTTATGCCATGATTGAAAACCAGTTTCAAACCCGGATTCAAGTATTTAAACCGACAATGGAAAATAATTCTTTAACTCTATTCTTGGTGATTTTTTGAAAGAAAATGGTATTTTCCATCATTCCACTTGCTTTGACACCCCACAACAAATCGGGATAGTTGAGAGAAAAAACTGCCATTTACTTGAGTTTGCTAGGGCAATAATGTTCACTAAATATCTATGGGGTGAGGCTTTTCTTACAGCTTCATACTTGATCAACAGAATGCCAACTAGGGTGTTGAAATTTGAGATGCCCCTAAACAGCTTGCTGTCAGTTTTTCCATATATTAGGATCTTCACCTCATTACCTCTTAAAGTGTTTGGATGCACTGCTTTTGTACATGTTCATACACGGGACCATTCAAAACTTGATCCTAGGGCTGAAAAGTGCGTGTTTGTTGGCTACTCTCCTAAACAGAAAGGGTATAAATGTTATAACCTCACCTCTAGAAAATTCTTTGTGAGTATGGATGTGACCTTTTTTGAGACTCAACCCTAGTTCACCAAAAATACTCTTCAGGGGGAGATTAATGAGAGGGAAGACCATTTTTGGGAAGTGTTGGGCGCTTTACCATTGCCGAGTGTGTCACCAAACCTTACCTTACCTATTGAACCTACTAAACCCACTATTTCAGCCTCTCCGAAGCCTATTGAGTCGAACATTATAGGCTACACTTCAGGGGGAGAACCACTTTAAATCCAATCTCAATCTGAGCTTCGTGTTTACTCTCGAAGACGGAAGGATCAAAATAAAGAGCACCAACCTACTACCTGCCAAGAAAATTCTCCAGATAAAGGCAACTTGAATGAAACAAGTATTTCTATCTCTAATCCATCTTTAATTCCTGAAACCAGCAATGAAGAAAGCCTTTCTCATGACCTTGATATTCATGTTGCACTTAAGAAGGGTACTCGCTCTTGTACCATGCATCTTATTGCTAAATATGTGTCCTACCATAGATTGTCTCCAAATTATAGAGCCTTTACCACTAATCTCTCTAGTGTTTCAATTCCTAGAACTATACAGGAGGCCTTGAATCATACTTTGAGTGGAAGGCAACAATTATGGAAGAGATGAGGGCTCTTGATGAGAACAAAACTTAGGAGATTGTTGAGGTGCCAAGGGAGAAGAAGACCTTAGTGTCACGCCCCGCCTATGGAGGTTGGGCCATGCAGACGACACGCGGACGCTGCATGGCAACTGCATGGCGAGTGGAGTTTCTAAAATCTTCCGGAGTTGTCTAAAGTTGTGTGGAAGATTCTAGATATGTGTAGTATATTCTAGAGCTCTCCAGAATCGTGTGGAGTAATATGGAGAGTTCTAGAATATTGTAGATACTTGTAGATAAGTATGGAAGTATGAAGAAGGTGGGAGAAGATTCTAGAGAATCGATCTCCACCGTTGGTTAGAATGCATCCTAGCCATCCATTAGGGATGGGGATGCCTATAAATAGAGGCAGGACTTCATTTTGTAGGCAATAAGTCTTAGAGTGAGTCTTGAGAGTCTTGTAGAGAGTTTGAGTGCTAGCCTTGTACAAAGCATTCTTTGAAGTAATAGAAGTGTTCTTTCCTTGCCAACTTAAGTGCCTTAGTATGTGTGAGTGTGCAAGCCAAGTGAGGAGAGGGCGAGGCCACTGCAACACTAGTAAGCGCACGAGGAGAGTGTGTTGGCTAAAGTGTGCACGAGAGTTAGGCTGACCAAGTCCTTGCGAGAGTAGAAGTAACGTCTTGGTGCCGCACGGGAGTAGCTAGAGTGGTGCTAAAACTCTAAGCCCGTGACAATAGGCTGCAAATGGGTGTTCATGGTCAAATATAAGGCTGGTGGTAATATTGCGAGATACAAGGCAAGACTCGTAGCTAAAGGCTTCACCCAAACATATGGAATAGGTTACCAAGAAACCTTTGCCCCTGGTGGCAAAGGTAAATTCAATACGGGTGCTGTTGTCTCTTACTGCAAGCTCGAGTTGGCCATTGCAACAGTTAGATATAAAGAATGCGTTCTTAAATGGTGAGCTAGAGGAAGAAGTGTTTATGAATCTACCACCAGGATTTGAAAATGATTATGGAGCTGGAAAGGTGTGTAAATTGAAGAAATCGCTATATAGTTTGAAACAATCACCCAGAGCATGGTTTGATCGATTCACTAAAGCTATCAAGGGTCATGGATATCGTCAAAGTCAAGCTGATCACACTCTGTTCTACAAACATTCAAGTGATGGTAAGATAGCCATACTTATTGTTTATGTGGATGACATAATCTTGACCGAAGATAATAAAAGAGAATTGGAGGATTTGAAGTCTTTTCTTGCAAAAGAATTTGAGATAAAAGATCTTGGAGCTTTGAAATACTTCCTAGGAATGGAATTTGCCAGATCCAAGAGAGGGATATTTGTCTCTCAAAGGAAGTATGTGTTGGATTTACTTATGGAGACACATTTACTTGGCTGCAAACCTATGGAACCCAATTTAAAGTTGCAGGCAGCAAGTGTAGAAAAAGTGGTGAACCGAGAGCAATTCCAAAGGCTGGTTGGAAGACTCATTTATCTTTCACACACTTGGCCAGATATTGCCTTTGCAATGAGTGTAGTGAATCAATTTATGCACTCACCAGGAGGAGAACACTTTGAGGCAGCCTACCGGATTCTTAAATACCTAAAGGGATCACCTCGAAGAGGTTTGTTATTTGAAAACCATGGCCATCTAAGGATTGAAGCCTATACTGATGCTGATTGGGCAGGTAGTGTGACGGATAAAAGATCTACTTCAGGTTACTGTACCTGTGTTGGTGGCAACTTGGTTACTTGGAGGAGCAAGAAGTAAACCGTTGTAGCAAGGAGAAGTGCAGAAGCTGAGTTCAGAGCAGTTGCTGATGGAATTTGTGAACTTTTGTGGCTGAAAAGATTACTTGAAGATCTTAAAATCTCAAGTCCGATGCCTATGAAGCTTTACTGTGATAATAAAGCTGCAATCAACATAGCTCACAATCCTGTCCAACATGATAGGACTAAGCATGTGGAAGTTGATCGACATTTTATTAAGGAGAAATTGGAAGGAGGAGTGATATGTATGCCCTATATTCCTACAGGAGAACAGGTAGCTGTTATCCTCACTAAAGGATTACCGAAGAGGAAATTTGACAATCTTACATGCAAGCTGGGAATGCAAGATATTTTTCGAGCCAGCTTGAGGGGGTGTGTGGAAAGATCTAGGCTGAATTGTTAGGAAATTAGTTAGGGAGGATTTTTAGGAATTATCCATAGTTAGATAGTTGACTTTTTTAAATTTTACATAAGTAGTTCCTATATTATAGGAATTATGATTTGTATATATCTTTTCCTTAGATAGAATTTGTAATACACTTCTATATGTATATAGGCCTATAAACTAACATATGTGATATGAAAAGAGAATATCAGAATTTATTCTTTTTCGCCTTTGTGTTCACCTTGATTATCTTTAAACTATTGTTCTTTAAGTATAACTTTCCTTATTGGAACAAATATCTGCTTCATCTTTGTTATTGCATTATTCACCTAACTAGCTTTATGTTGGTCGAAATTCTATTCTCTGCGGAATGATAGTCATACAATGGTCTGATATATATGTATATTTAATTAAGAATTTTCTCTTTGTAATCTTTGAATGTGTACTAGTAACCTGAGTTTTGCATTAGTGCTCCATTTTTGAATTTCTATTTTTCTTTTCGGTGTAGAGTGCATGAAGGACGGAAATCCTACCAATTTCAAGAATGCTCCCAAATCTCTGGTGAGAGAATCTTATGCCTTGGTTCTAGCAGGAAGCGGCCTGTTCTAAAATGGGAGAAGAACATGGCATGGCCAGGAAAACTTACTTTGACAGATAAAGCACTCTACTTTGAGGTATTTGATATTTGAGCAATTTTATGCATGAGGAAAAATAAAACGAGTGTTTATAATTTGAGATACTAATACCTTACATGTGATCTATTTCACTCAGATACTTTGGAATCGATGAGTAGCTAAATCTGATTATACATGGAACAGGAAAATAGTTGACGAATCAATCACAAACGCATAGTAAATAAAGTAAAACAGATACACTACATTTTTTATGGGAAAAACCCTAGAAAGGAAAAAAAAAAAAAAAAAAGCATGGGAACTAGTCTAGGTATTTAAAATCCACTATGAAGAAATATTTATAACTAGGTTAGCTAGACTAACCCAAGAATCCTCTGGTTCCTTTTGATTCAGACTCACGCCAGACGATCCAACCTGATCTTTGTTGCTGCTAGTCAACGAACTCGCTCCTCATGCAGTTCACTGCTCCTTTAATCCTTTGATCTCCAATGACTTGTCATGTTCATTCTTCTCCTTGCTTGATTCTCTCAATCACAGAGTATGGAAGTCTATGAAAAACGGTAGATTGATTCTCAAAGATTCTCTCTAAAAGATATAAATTCTCTCAATAGTATGTAAAGAGTTAAAATACCAGTAAGAGACACCTTAGACTTATTATAACCCCATATTTATTGCCAATATTCGATTCCTATGCAAAATTGGATGCTAAGTCCTCTTAAAAGTCTATTTATTTACATTAGTTTATTATTATGCTTCCTTTTCTAGCTATATATTTCCAAATCTGATTTTCTTATCAATTTTTTTTTGTCTTTTCAATGAAAAGGGCAAAAAATGAAATTTTCCTAGCATTTGCATGCACTCCTATATTCTTTAATTTTTAATATTCCTTTATTGATGTGTATCATCGTGTGCCTGTTCAAATATTTTGAAATTAGAGTCCTAGTTCATCTATTTTGTGAAAACCAAAGATACATTTTGTTAAAGTTGTGCCCAGTTATGGAAAACATAAAAGTGAGAAAGCTGTTTACGGACGTGATTATAATTTTTGGGCTGCAGCTAATTAAACATGAGCATGTGCAGAGATTAAGAAATGTTGAAGGCAAATATATATATATATATGTTAAGTAATGTTTAAGACACATTGTCTTCAGATAAGAATCTGAAAAAAAAAATTCCTCAATAGATTTGAACCGGACAAATCTATTGCGGAAAAAGTGTCTACATTTTTATCTGCGGAGTTCAAAATCTTAGAAACTTATTGTTATTTATTACTACTACTATTTTTATAGTTTTTGACATGATTGTATTTTCTACTTGTGAAGTTTTAAGTTCTAGCCGGTTTTGTTGTTTTATCCCATTTTAGAAGTTTCATTGGAGCAACCCCTCTCTCAAGTGGTTTATTGTATTGTACCTTTTCACAGGCAGTTGACTTGGCAAGGCAAAGAAATGCTGTTAGACTGGATCTAACAAGAAATGGTTCACGGGTAGAGAAAACCAGGGTTGGACCTTTGGGAACTGATATTTTTGACTCTGCTGTCTCTGTTTCCTCTGGTTTGGAGTGAGTAAGCCTCTCAATACTAGTCTGTAGAATTATTTGAGTTACTGATAACTGATTTTTCAAGCAGAAGCATCTATATAATAAGTTTATAACTATTATAAGATGCTCTACATGTTCAGCATCTAGCTGTTGTATGTTTCTCCATGCTATTACTTGATTCTGTCGATGAAATTCTCTCATGTCATGATATATGGGGAGAGAATTATACATTTATTAATCCAAAATAATAATATTAATAAAATCATTAGACGCTGATAGTTCATTGTATTTTAGCCTTGAAATAGCTGGGACCTAGGCGCATCCCTCTGAACCAGACTTGACCAAACAATTCTACCTGAAAGCCTTGAAATTGCTGATAGTTTAACTCAAAATGGAAAACTGGAATCAAATGGTTTCAAACATCCACAAAAACACCACCTTAATTCTGAGAAAAAAATAGGATAATTGACACATATAAATTTTTGTCAAGGTTGACGGCGGGGCTGCTGATGTCACCATGTGACAGTGACGTTAGCACACGCATGTTGTATACTGACATGTAGTTTACTCCTCCGACCTCCAATGGCTTTTGAATCCTGAGCTGATTTTCTAATACCTGGTTGAAGATGATACTAGACTTGAAAGATTAGGATTTGAGAAAAATTTAAAAAAGAGAGAAGGAAGAGAGGAGTTGTAAGGAAGGATTGAAGAGTGTCACCAACACCTCTACACACTATCTATTTATTTTGTCGAATAAGAAAAATTACAGAACTACCCTGAACGCTAATCATGCACTAATTATTCAAATATTCCAACAAAGGCAAATGGGACAATTAATAGATATAACAATAGGTTGATTGTGAAGGATTCACTCAAACATATGATATAAACTATGAGGAGACATTTGCATCGATTGTTCAAATCAGCTCCATTCGAGCACTTACTTCATGTGTAACAAATCTGGGTTTGACTCTTGAACAGTTAAATGTTAAAATTGCCTTTTTACATGGGGATCTAGAGGTGGAAGTGTACATGGAGATTCCTTCAGGCTTCTCATCACATGTAACTGAAGGGAAGGTGTGTAAATTGAAGAAGGCACTCTATGGATTGAAGAAATCTCCCAAAGCTTGGGTTGATAAATATTGTAAGGCTATGGTGAAGACTGGTTGCAAATATAGTCAAGCTGATCATACTATGTTCACAAAATGAGCAATTGACAAGATTACTATCCTTACTGCATATGTGGATGACATAGTTGTACACAACGATGATACCACCAAAGGTTGTAACCTAGTGGCACATCCTCACCTTCCAAAGTAGAAGGTTGAGGGTTCAAGTCCCCACAGGGGCAAGTGGGCGTGTGAGTGTGTTTCTTGCTCATGTAAAATAAAAATAAAAAATTTGTTGTAACCGGTGATGATGTCGAGGAGATCTCCAGATTGAAAGCTCTTCTAGCTGAATTCAAAATAAAAGACTCGGTAATTTATGATATTTCCTTAGAATTGAGGTTTCTAGATCTTGAAAAGGGATTTTCATTTGCTAGAGGAAATATATTATTGGTTTTCTGAGAAGAAACCAATATGTTGGGGTGTAGACCGGCAGACTTCCATATTGATGCAAATGATCACCTTAGAAGTGCCAAAAGAAATCAAGTAAATAAAGTTAAATATCAGAGACTTGTAGGGAAGTTTATATATCTTTCTCACACTCTACCAGATAGCTTATGCAATCGAGGTTGCAAGTCGGTATATGCATGACCCTCGCACTTCACATTTAGAGATTGTTTATTGTATTTTGAGGTACATGTTGGGGTTTTATCAATTAACTCAGGAGTGAGATTAGCTGATGAGGTCTTGACTGAAATAGTAAAGTAACAATCAAGAATGCAGTGAGTAGGATCGTATGGTCACGATTGCCCTAAACAGACCTAGAGGAGGGTGAATAGGTCTACAATGGAAACTTACCCAAATTTAAAATCCACGCAATACTTATTTCAATTACGCGCTTTATTTATCACTTGTTAAAGTAGTTGAAATTGAGGATGTAGTTGTAGAAACAAAGAGGAAGGGAGGAAGAGGAAGAGGAGAAGAGAAGTTCTGTAAAAGGTAGAGAGCGTGTATCCGGGTTTTCCACACCTCTCACCCTATTTATATATTAGGAAGATAGAAGCCTGCTGATAAGACGAGGGAACAGAGATAGATGACAAGGTAAAATCGAAAGACTGCAATAAGGAAGAAATATGATTGTAGGACACAAAGTTAGCAACAAGATGCTAAGGTACAAGTACTCTTACGTCGACGCAACGCAATAGGCAAATCATCAATGGTAGAAGTGGATGATGAAGGAACAGGAACCTCTAGTCGAGAAGACGTTGTGTCCGGACCATAAGGAAAAAGGGGCCAAGATTTAGAGTGCTGACAAACCTGTAATGGAGAAATAGAAAGTGTAGGATTAGAAGGTGGAGCTATTAGCATTGGAAGAGTCAGGAAAGATGAGAAAGGCTCCCCTCATAAGCGGATATGTGATCCGGAGACGAACACTGACCAGAGGACAAAAAGAAGGTAGAGGACTAAAAAAAAGGTAACATTGGCACTCACAAAGTATCGATTGGATTGAGGACTATAACATCGATATCCCTTTTGTGTGTGGAAATATCCAAGAAAAACACATTTACGAGCATAAGGAGACAGTTTGTCACGACCACGATCCAATATATGAACGAAGGCTACATAAACCAAAAACACGAGGAGTGAGCTGAAAGGGAGAGATACTAGGATATAAAAGAGAAAAGGGAGTCTAATTATTTACAACAGCAGAAGGCATACGATTAATGAGATAACAAGTAGTAAGAATTGTATAGCCCAAAAATGTTTTGGCACCTTCATATTGAACAAGGTATGAGCAACATCCAATAGATGGCAATGCTTTCGTTCAGCAACACTATTCTATTGAGAAGTGTGGGCACAACTGGTCTAATGAATAATACCACGATCATCACAAAAGGAATTTATGATAGCCTATTTATATTCCAAGGCATTATAAGATCGAATTTTTTTAACGCGCTTACCAAACTGAGTAAAAATTTCATTATAAAATTTAGCAACAATACGAGGTAACTCAGATCTTTCTTTCATTAAAAATAGCCGTGTCATTCAAGAATAATCATCAACAAATATAACAAGATAAAGAAATCCATTCAAACTGGCGGTTCGAGAAGGACCCCATATGTCCATATGAACTACATTAAAATGCTTAGTTTGACAACTATGACTACGACTCGGAAAGGAACTACGGTGATGCTTGCCTAACTGGCAAGCTTTACATTTTAAAATAGACACACAACTCAACTTAGGAATCGCTAATCTTAACTTTGCCAATGACGGGTGACCCAAACAAAAATGCCACCGAAGAGGAGAGATGGTAGCACTCAAAGCTGATGATAAGATAGGAGGTGGTTCATCAAGATCCAGATAATATAGCCCGTCCTTCTCATGCCCCGAACCAATCATCTTCTTCGTCCCGAGATCCTGAAAAACACATCAAGTGGGAGGAAAGGTTATGGAACAATGTAATGCTTTAGTCAATTGACTTACAGAAAGAAAATTAAAAGGAAAATTAGGGACATAGAGATTGGACTATAAGGACAATGAATGGGTAGGGTGAAGAACACCTTTCCCAAGGACAGACCTAGAAGAACCATCTGCTAGAACAATATGGTGTTTAATAGGTGTTAAGGCAGAAAAGAGAGATGATCTACCAGACGTGTGAGCTAGCTCCGGAGTCAATGACCCAAGACGAAGGAGATTGAGCCACACATGCAATATTACCTGAATTGGCAAGGTAGCAGTGGAAGTGGACGGGAGAGCAGATTGTAGTGTCTAAATGAACTCAATAAGTTGAGTACTGAGTGCATCATGAGAACCAGAATCAGAAGCTACATGTCGAAATGTAGTGCGAGGCCACCGGTAACCTGATGCACATACGATGGTTTGAAATATTTCACCCAACAATAAGAGTCGGTGTGGTTTATACCACCACAATGATCACACTTCCTATCACCATGTCCACTAGAGCGGCGGTCACCATGAAAACTGCGACTACCACGAGAACTACCACCACCTCCACTGCTAGATAGTAATGCAGAAGACTTTGTACAAGATGCAGTAGAGCTTTGCCCCAAAGATGATCTTAGTAGTCAAAGATAAGCATTAGCAGCTGTGGGTAACATCTCGCTAGTGAGAATCTGATCTTTGAAGCCACAAAAATCTGTCTAAACCAAATAACAATGAGCCAATCATAAACTCCTCACAATGACGCTTTTGTTGCTCTAAATTAGTAGTAAATGGTCGATGTTGCAGTAACTAATCCCACAAATTCTTCATGTTACTGTAGTATTCCAACAATGGTTTCCCAGATTGCTTAGTAGCTAAAATCTTCTCATACAACTCAAACCGAGAAACATTACTCTGGTGCGAATATGACTGTGCAAAAGAGTCCCTAATCTTCTTAGAAGAGTCACAAAATTCAACTGTACTAGGAATATCATGTTTCATACTGTGTTAGCCATCCCATAACAACACAATCATCACATGCCTGGTCTTTAAGTTCCTTATTGTCAGAGGGGGGATTATCAGTGAAGTATTTCAACTTCCTTTTCCACGCAGAAAAATCTGAACAGCATGAGCCCAAGACGGATAATTATTGCCATTTAATTTTCTTAGGCAAATCATCATCCTTGAGCAGTTGTAATTTATTTTAGAAGGATTCAAACCTATAAATGTAAAAGGGGAGTGTACAATTCTGTTCTTTGTAGTCTGAAGCGGAACAGAGATCAAAGACTTGGAAAAAATATTCAGACTAAATAATTGGGTCTAAATGACAAACCAAGTACAAAACTTAAGAGATCAAAGACTTGGACTCGGTAGTTGACTGCTATCGGCTTGATAGCGGGGGGCTGACCTAGGATGTGCAATTTCTGAGATCTTTTTAGGATTGGGAGCTGGATGACGTCTATGGATTTTTGGAACTTTTGTATAGCCAGGAGATTCATGGCGGAGGTAGGGATTCTCTTGTTTGGGTGCCTTCTTCTCGGGGAAGCTTCGAAGTGAGATCCCAATTTGGATGTCTTTCAGACCTAGTCGGGACTACGTTTCTGTGGAAGGCAGTGTGGCGATCCAAGGCACTGCTCTAAGTAGTTTTCTTTGCTTGGACAGTGGTGGGGCAAAATTTTGACGCTTGACAACTTGTGGAGGAGAAAACAAATCACTGTTAACCGGTGTTGCATGTGTAAGTGTAATGGACAGCCGGATGACCATCTTCTTTTGCATTGTCCAGTGGCTTTTGATTGTTGGAGCCTTTTGTTGGGTCTTTTTGAAGTTCCGTGGGTCATGCCTAGATCTGTGAGAGGATTAATGGATGTTTGGAGAGTGTGCTACCTGGGAGCACGGCTCGTGGGTATTGGAGGATGGCGCCCTTATGCCTATGGTGGTGTTTGTGGAGGGAGCGGAATAAAAGATCTTTCGAAGGAGAGGAATCTTCTATTGTTGTTCTTAAATTTTTTTTATTAGCTCTCTTTTGTTGGCCTTCAGGTAGACATTGTTCCTCCCCTGAGGAGACAATAGATTTTCTGAGTTCCTTGGGGCCTTAGGGTCCCATGTGTCTCGTGTTGTTTTGGGACGCGTTCCCCTTTTGAACGCTTTTTATGAATTTTCTTACTCATCAAAAAAAAAATTTAAAAAAAAAAAAAAATTGAAGGTTCTAGAAAAACGTTTTCTCAATGCACAAGCAATGTCTAGGCATGGAAACTTTGAACTTTACAAAATAAGCATGGATGCATGTTTAAAAAACTTTTTCTTTATGCATAAGCACCTGCCTAAGTAGGTTTTTGAAAAACTTGGAAACCTAGCATATATGGCCTATAGCATAAAAAGGTAACTTTCCTAATACTTATAAGGAATGTGTATATATGTATGTGTATATATATATATAAGAGCTCTAGAATCTTAATCTTAACATATATATGTTAAGACAAAGGATGGAACTCTTGAATTCAACAAGGATGCTTTTTGCTTAAAAAGAGGCTGTTACCAAGTGATGTTCCCACTTATGCAGGATGCTGGAAACCTCTGGCATTATTTATTGCTTATCTAGCATTAAATTGTTGTAGAGACATGGGAGATAGAGTTTCTCATAAGTCGTGAAAATGCAATTTTTGTTTTCTTTTGTGTCAATTATGAATTTCCTCTGCCTTCTATTTACATCCTCCTCATAAACTCTTTTAAGATCGCTAAGTTCATGTCTTTATTGTATATGTCTAATCAGGTCTGAAACATGGGTACTTGAACTTATTGATTTGGGAGGTGAAATGAGACGAGATGTGTGGCATGCATTTATTAGTGAAGTAATTGCTTTACACAATTTCATACGAGAGTATGGACCCAAGGATGGTGATCAGTCAGTATATCATGTGTATGGTGCTCACAAAGGGAAGGCAAGGGCTATCACTCATGCTATTAATGGTATTGCAAGACTTCAGGCGCTTCAGTTTATGCGGAAGCTCTTGGATGATCCCACTAAACTTGTTCAACTTTCATATTTACAAAATGCACCCTATGGTGATGTTGTTTACCAAACTCTGGCCGTAAATTGTTGGGGTGGACCGCTAGTTACAAAAATTACAGAGGGAGGGTATCAACCGGGTCAAGAAGTGAGGCCATCTGATGAGGTATCAGAAAGTAGTAATCATGTGTTTGACATGGATGGAAGTGTATACTTGAGGAAGTGGATGAGATCTCCATCATGGGCATCTAGTGCTTCAGTTGATTTCTGGAAGAACTCTTCAGTAAGACAAGGCTTAGTTTTGAGTAAAAATCTTGTAGTGGCTGATATGACTTTGGTGGAAAAGGCAGCAATTGCTTGCAGAGAGAAATGCCGGGTTGTTGAAAAAACACAAGCCACTATAGACGCGGCAATGCTGGAAGGGATACCCAGTAACATAGACCTTTTCAAGGTTGGACTATGTCTAGTCTCTTTCTTATTCTTCTTTCCCTGACTCTTTGTATAGTTCCTCATAGGCTAGATTTATGCATGAGCATTGAATCAAATCATGATCTGTGTGTGTGTGTGTGTAATCATGATTTTAAACTCTATATAATGTAAATCTTTATCTGAATAGACTTTTGATTGGTAAGTTTTTTTGTACTTCTAAAACATCTAGAAAAAAAATTCACTTGAGACTGAAGTTTACAATTTTGTTATCAGATGGCTGGTATCACATTAATATTGGTTTTTTAATTTTGGTTTGTCATTATCAAATTTTTGCTCTGTGTCTTGATAAATGATGTAGTCAGTGATTTTGTGAACCATTGGAAGCACCCAAAGAAGGATAGGAATGCGAGGAGGACCAAACAAAATTCCTAATTTTCTGCAGAGTCAACTTTATGTCTTTTAGAAACTTTCCATAAATTTCCATACTCTGAAATTTCCTGATTCTGTAATTTTTCTGATTTCCAGCAATTTTCCTGTTTTGTTTTAGTCTATATTTGGTAGTAAGCCAATCTATGGCTAAGAACGAAACTCTATATTAAGTCTTGTAATAGCTAGGGTTTCATCATTGGTTGAAAATATAATTTTACAGCAATTACAGCTTGCTTTTGAGTCCCAAGTCCTCTAATTTTTGCTTATGGCATTCCCGTCTTGGACATGTTTCTAGTTCTCGTTTACAATATTTAGCCTCCACTGGTGTTTCGGGGAATTTGCATAGTCATGACATTTTGATTGTAGTGGTTGCAAACTTGCAAAATTTTCTGCTTTGCCCTTTAATAAGAGTTCTACTATTTCTATGGCACCTTTTGATTTAGTTCATTTTGATGTGTGGGGACTGTTGTCAGGGGCTTATTTGTTATTAATTATATAATGTTGGGGCTTATGTGTAATTTCTGAAACTTATTATTATAAATATAATGTGGTGGAAGAATGAAAGGATTATTTTCATTCTCTCTCTCTTTTTCTCTCAACCTCTTTCTTCTCTTTTTCTTCTTCTTATACTTTACTCTTTGATTTTATTCTCTCTTAAAGTCAATATGGTTAATCACATCCACACATACTACAGATCCAACTGATTTTTAAGAGATTCCAAGATGGGATTTGTTTGCAAAAATTTACTGGACCTGCTTTTGATCTATTGCAGTCTCGATCGTTTTTTTTTTTATTTTTTTATTTTTTTTATTTTTATTTTTTTTCATGTTCGCGAGGTTATGCAACAATGGCTTTTTCTTCGTCGTTCGTGATTCTGGTATGGTCGACTTTGTTACTTTCTATTGTTTGTGTGGTGACTGTGTGGTCGCTTTTTTATGCATCTAAGAATACATTTATCTTTCTAGTTGAAGTTCGTGTGTTAGAGAGGTGGTTCTCTACGTATTTTCTTGTTGTTTTTGTTTATAAGGATTAATACCCAGAAACTGTTTGATAAAATGTGTGGCTCAGATGTGACTTTAAAAGAAGCTGGGTCTTCCACAAGTTTGACTCCAGTATTGGGAGGTAGTAGTGATCACCATTCAGGCCTTTGTATTACGATTGTTAGGCTGGATGAGATGAACTATATGGAGTGGGCTCATTAATCTGCTCGAATGCATATCACTGGTCGTAGGATGATCGACCATATCGAAGGGACTGTCACGTATCCCTCCAAGAGTAATCTTGAATTCAAATAGTGGAGTTCAAATAATGCACTAGTTATGACGTGGTTGTTGCAGTCAATGCTGCCACAGATCAGCAAAGGGTTTTTGTTTGTGAAAACGGCTAAAGAGCTATAGCATGCTGTAGAAGAGACATATTCCTCGGTTGGTAATTTTGCAAAACTATATGAACTCCAACAACAGATATCAAGATTCAAGCAGGAAGACCAAACTCTTGCTACATATTACCACACTCTACGTGGCAAATGGGAAGAGTCAGATCACTACCAAGACTGCATACCTGTGTGTGCAGCTGATGTTAAAGCATTTCGTGCTATGGTAGAAAAGAATCGAATCTATGAGTTCTTGGGTGGTCTACATCCGAGATATGAGCATGCCAGGGTACAAGTGTTAGGCAGGTATCCAGCCCTTACTTCTGTTAAAGATGTGTTTTCGTATATCCAGGCTCAGGAAAGTAGAATGAAGGCTATGTTTGCATCTGTATACACTACGCCTGAGTTAGAAGTACCATTGTCTGAGAGATCTACTCTAGCCACACAACAATGGAACAAGTACAATCCTCCAAATGGAAGGAAGCAGGATGACAAGAGCAAGTTGAGGTGTGAACACTGTGGGCGTACGCGACACACTAGGGAAACATGTTGGAATCTACACGGTTGCCCTACTCCAGCTCCTGCACATGCGAATGCTAGGCCAACGCCTGGGCCATTTAGGGGGTTATCTACGGCAAGTACTGCAAAGCGTGAGACTACTTTTACTACTCATATCTCCTCAGTGCCACCGAGTTCTTTGTCTGGGGCTGAACTTGATGCTCTTCGACATTTACTAGCTCAAAATGCCTCCATTTCTACCCCTAACTTCGTTCAAACAAGTACTTCTCATTCGGCACATGAGGTTTCCACATTATCTGTGGGCCACCCTGGATCATTGATGCAGGAGTCACTGATCACATGACTGGTATGACATCTGATTTCGTACAGTTTATGGTCTGGTAAAGATAAGGTTAGAGTGGCTGATGGCACCTTCACCTCCATTGCGGGGAAGGGCACTGTTTCCGCCTCTCCTAATCTTACCTTATCCTCTGTTCTTCATGTCCCACCAATAACCTCCTTTCTGTTGGTCACATTACAAAAGGCTTGAATTGTAGTGTAACCTTTTTCCCATCTCACTGTGTGTTTCAAGACTTGGATACAAGGAAGACGATTGGAGTGGATGTGAGGACAATGGCTTGTATTTGCTGAACACGAGGCCAACTTCTTATTATGTTGCAAATCAATCTAGTGTTAGGAATAGTAATGTCAATAAAGATCTGTTAATGTGATGACATAATAAACTAGGTCATTTACCTCTTCCTGTTTTGAAGCATGTGCTTCCCCAGTTTGCTTCTGTTGAATCTTTTGGAGTTAAATTGTGAAACATGCGTTCTTGTTAAACAATGTCATGTGTCTTATCTTACTAGTATTAATAAAAGTACAGCTCTTTTGCAGCTTGTTCATTCTGATGTGTAGGGTCCTGAACCTACTACTTCGTTACTTGGTTTTCATTACTTTGTTGTGTTTGTTGATGACTTTAGTCGATATACTTGGCTTTATCTTATGAAAATCAAAGATGAAGTTCATTCCATTTTTAAAACCTTTCATAGGATGATATGTACTCAGTTTGGTTGTCCCTCAAAAGCCTTCGATCTGATAATGGAGGAGAGTTTATGTATGGTGGTTTTGCCTCCTTTTTTGCTGATAACGGGATTTTCCATCAAACCTCCTGTGTCGATACACAACAACAGAACGGTGTAGCTAAAAGAAAACACCGTCATATTACAGAGGTGACCCGTTTTCTTTAAATTGGGATGGGAGTGCCTAAAAGTTATTGGGCTGATGCAACCTTAATAGCTACATACCTTATCAATCGCATGCCTTCTAAGGTTCTTGGCTATCAATCCCCCTTCTGTGTCTTACACTATCACACTGCCTTGTTCACTATCCCTTCAAAAGTGTTTGGTTATGTTTGTTATGTTCACATTCATCATCGAGGGACAAAATGGACCCTAAGGCAATTCGATGTGTCTTTCTTGGATACTCCGCCACTCAGAAAGGGTATCGGTGTTATAACCCTACCACTTGTTGTCCCTTTGTCTCCATGGATGTTACATTCTTTGAGGATTTTTTTCTTCTTATTTATTTATTTATTATTTTTTTTTTGTGGGATACTTTACTGGGGGAGACTACTATAAAGGTAGAGAATCTGTCGTCCATTTAGAGGGAATGCCCCCTTCCTTTGCGTGTTCCCATTCAGGGGGAGCTTCTTATTGAGGTGCCTATGTCTGGTCCTCCTACCACTAATGATTTGCGGCAGGGAAAGCAGCCAATTGTCTACAGTAGGACGGTAAAATGAGTCATTGACTCACCCCAGGACCAAGGAGTCTCCCTCGATCCAGGTAATTCCTCAGTTGACATTGATACTCCTGATTCTTTTCCTAATAGTATTCCTGTTGATCTTGATGTCCCTATTGCCTATCGTAAGGGTGTTTGTAGTTGTACAAAACATCCCATATCTCAGTTTGTATCCTATGATGCCTTATCTCCAACATATTGTGCTTGCACTTCATGTATCTCCTCTGTATCTGTTCCTTCTAGTGTTTCAGATGCTCTCAGTCAAACTCCATGGAAAGAAGCCATGCTTGAAGAGATGAAGGCCCTTGAGAAGAATGGTACTTGGGATATTGTTCCGTTACCTAGGGGTAAGAAACCAGTAGGCTGCAAATGGGTCTACACAATAAAGTATCATGCAAACGAAACAATTGAGAGATATAAAGCCCGGTTAGTTGCAAAGGGCTTCACTCATACCTATGGGATTGATTATTTGGAAACATTTGCTCCAGTTGCCAAGGTGAACTCCATACGTGTCCTTTCTTTGGCAGTTAATTTGAATTTCCCTTTACATCAGCTGGATGTAAAGAATGCTTTCCTTCATGGTGGCTTGGAGGAAGAGGTGTATATGACTATGCCACCAGGGTTTAAGCTTGCTAATGGTCAGAATTTAGTGTGCAAGCTAAATAAAGCCTTGTGTGGGTTAAAGTAGTCGCCACGTACTTGGTTTGAGAGGTTCAACACTGCTGTGAAAAGAGTAAGGTACACGGAGTCAGGCAGATCACTCTCTCTTCATCAAAAAGCACTAGGGCTGCTACACTGCTCTTATTGTAAATGTCGATGATATTGTTTTCACTGGAAATTGTCCAAAAAAGATTCATCAAATGAAGTCATTCTTGGGGACAGAGTTCAAGGTTAAAGGCCTCGGATCATTGAGATGCTTTCTTGGCATCAAAGTATGCAGATTGAAGAAAGGGGTGGTCATTTCTCAACGGAAGTATGTGTTAGATTTGTTGGCTGAAACAGGCAGGCTTGGAGCTAAACCTATTGATATTCCCATTGAGCAGAACCATAGGCTTAATGATGTAGATGGAGACCCATTAGACGATATGGGGAGATTTCAATGATTGGTTGGGAGAATGATTTACCAATCTCTCACGCGCCCAGATATTACCTATGCTGTTATTGTGATTAGTAAGTTTATGCATGCTCCACGTACACCTCACCTTGAGGCAACTCATCATAAACTTCGCTACCTCAAGGGTTCACTTGGTAAGGGGATATTGTTTGGCCGTCATGGCCACTTGCGTGTTGAAGCTTATACTGATGCTAATTGAGCAGGGTCTATGAAAGATCAACGATTTACTTCAGGATAGGTAATCTTGTTTCATGGCAAAACAAAAAACAGTCTGTAGTAGCTAGTTCTAGTGCAGAGGCTGAGTTCAGATCCATGGCACATGGAGTCTGTGATTTGTTATGGCTACGAACGATGTTGTGTGAGTTGGGTTATTCTATTTTCTAGTCAATGAAGTTGTATTGTGACAACAAGGGTGCTATTAGCATTGCCCATAATCTAGTTCAACATGACGGGACAAAGCACATTGAAGTCAATTGGCACTTCATCAAGGAAAAGCTTCGTCTTGGGCTGATTTGTACTCCATACGTCAACACACATGATCAGATTGCTGATGTTTTGACTAAGGGTGTGAGCAAGACTTGCCTGCAAAATATGTTAGTCAAGTTGGGCATGCTAAATATCCTTGCACCAGCTCTTTTGGGGGGGGGGGGGGGGTGGGGGGATGAAAGGATTATTTTCATTTTTTCTCTCTTTCCCCATCTCTCTCTCATTTACTCTCATCCTCTTTTTTCTCTTTTTCTTCTTCTTATACTTTACTCTTTGATTTGATTATCTCTTAAAGTCAACAGGGACCTGCTCCTATTTCTACTAAAATGATTATAGTTGATATTGTTGGATTTATCTTATGAAATGTCCTAAATTCTTTTCTATTTTTTAGTGCTTTACGTGCTATGATTCGCATCCAATACTCCTCTGTAATCAAATTCTTTCGATGGGATTTAGGTGGAGAGTATAGTTATAATCCTTTTCTTGATCTATTCAAATTTGATGGCACAATTTTTCAGTCTTCTTGTACTGAAACTCCTGAGCAGAATGGTGTTGCTGAACGAAAGCATCAGCACGTCATGGAGACTGCTCGTTCTCTTTTGTTGTATTCTACTGAACCTAGTAGCTTTTGGGGGAGGCTGTTCTCACTGTTGTTCATATAATAAATAGGATACCAACTATTATTTTACCTTTGGTCTTTCTCCTTCTGAATGATTATATGGTAAGCCCCCAGATTTTTTTTTCCTATCTGCACGTTCTTCTGTGTGTTTCTTTTTTATGGTGAAGGCCAAAAGGGGTGTCGTTGTTATGATCCTGTTCCTCAAAAGTTGTGTGTGTCTCGTCATGTGCTATTGCTTGGGCATATGCCTTTCATTTCTATTCTCTCCAGCTCTACTAGTTTGAGTCAGTCTGATCTCCTTCCTATTGATCCTTTTCATGATGACAATTTCATTACGTCTTCTGTTGATGATCTACCTTTCTCTAATGTTTCATCTTCTTCTGCACCGACATCTTCTACACCTTCTTCTCTAGTTGTTCCTTCTATTATTCACAAGTACACTCACAGGAATAAAGCGGTTTCTTCTGCAGGTACATCTCCTCCATCTCTCTCAACAGATTCACAATTTGTTTTTGGTGGCGTGAACCCCGCCCCTCCTCGCTATTCTCAGTGCATTCATAAGTGTCCCGATCGTTTTGCTTTTTCTAATTCTTGTTATTCTACTACTTTCTGTTATTTTTTGGCATCCATTCATTCTCTTTCTGAGCCCACCTCCTATAAGGAGGTTGTTCTTGATCCTCTTTGGCAACAGACAATGGATGACGAGCTCTTGCTTTGCATAAGACAAGCACATGGGACTTGGTGTTGTTACCTTCAGATAAACATGCAATTGGATGCAGGTGGGTCTATAAAATCAAGACTATGTCTGTCGGCTCTGTTGAACGATATAAAGCACGTTTGGTTGCAAGAGGATTATGCAAGAATATGGTATTGACTGAGGAGACCTTTGCTCAATGACTACTGTTCGCACATTGATTGCTATTGCTGTTGTTTACTAGTAGGATTTGTCACAGCTGGATGTCAAAAAATGCCTTTTTAAATGGGGACTTGAATGAAGAAGTTTATTTGACTCCTCCTCGTCTTTCTCATAATCCTGGTGAGGTGTGCAGACGTAGAAAGGCATTGTATGGTCTCAAACAAGCTCTCCTAGAGCTTGGTTTGAGAAATTCTCTACGGTGATGTGTGCTTCGGGTTTTCTTTCTAGTGATTATGATTCTGCTCATTTTCTTTGCTCTACTTCTGCTGGCTGTATTATTCTTCTTTTATACATTGATGACATGATTTTGACGGGTGATGACTTAGCTCGCATTGCTTTCTTAAGTCTCGATTGCAGCAGCAATTTGAGATGAAGGATCTTGGTCCTCTTCGTTATTTTCTTGGCATTGAAGTTGCTCATTCTCCCAAAGGTTATCTTCTCTCAGTGTCTAAGTATGCCACAGATGTTTTTCGCAGAGCTCATCTCAGTGATACTCGGACTGTTGAAACTCCTATCAAACTTAATGTTAGCTATGCTCCTACATGGTGTTCCTTTGTCTGATCTTACTTTATATCGAGCTATAGTTGGCAATTTAGTATATCTCAATGTCACTCGACCTGATCTTACATATGCTGTTCACATTGTCAGCCAGTTTGTATCGTCTCCTACTACTGTTCACTGGGCTGCGGTTCTTCGTATCTTGTGTTATCTTCGAGGTACTTTGCACAAAATTTTGTTGTTTTTTTCTACATCAGTTTTGGAGCTTCGAGCTTTTTCTGATGCTAACTGGGCTGGGGATCCCACAGATGGTAAGTATACCACCGGTTTCTGCATTTTCCTAGGTGATTCTCTAATTTTCTGGAAAAGCAAGAAGCAAACAGTTATTGGTCGTTCTTATGCTGAAGCTGAGTATCGTGCCATGGCTGCAACTACAGCAGAGATAGTTTGGCTACAGTGTTGCTTGCTGATTTGGGTGTTTCTTTGGTTGGTCCAACTTCTATGTACTTTGATAACAAGAGTGTTATTCAGATTGCACACAATTCTGGGTTTCATGAATGCGCCAAGCACATCGAGATTGATTGTCATTTCACGCGCCAACACCTTCAGCTTGGCACCATTTCTCTACCATTTGTTTCTTCTTCTCTACAGTTGGCTGACTTCAAAGTCCCACACTATTTTACATTTTCGTTTTCTTCTTAGCAAACTCTCGATGTTTCTCACTGTCACATTGTGAGTTTGAGAAGGAGAGGGGTGTTAGAGTAGGATTTATTTTATTTTGAGGGTAGTATTGTCCTTTTCTCAGTTTATTAGTTTAGGGCTTATTATATTATTATGTCTTGTATTTTACTTCTTTGTAACAATGTAATATACGACTCTGGATTCTTTTCTGTGCAATCTTTACGACTCTGGATTTCTTCTTTGTGCAATCTTTACAGTTATAATCCCCAAGTTCATATTCTTACAATCTGGAATTTTATTTTAATCAGGAACTTGTGCTTCCTTTAACTGTCACTGCCAGAAGTTTTGAAAAACTCAGGCACTGGGAGGAGCCACACTTAACCGCCTCTTTTCTTGTACTCGCATATGTGGTAATTTTCAGGTAAAAATGTTATGATTATTGCTACCTAAATGATGTTTCATGGCATCAATCTTAGTTCAAGTTTCTTTACACAAGTAATCTTTAGTACTATCAACCCCTCAAACGTGGAGTGCATTAATATTTTTCATAGTAATTATGGAGTAAAGGCATTTTTTAAGGGTAATTGTGTGATTTCTTTAAAAAAAAAAAATTGGGGTGCAAGTTGATATCATAACCCTTGTGTTATTGTGGTTCAAAATTGCATTATTCTCTGGAACTTTTTCACACATTCACTATCATTTATGATTACATTCGTAATTGGTGAAAACATTGATGTGTACCATCTATGATATTTGTTTGCCCAGAAACTTGCTGCCATATATATTTCCGACGATGTTGATGATTTTAGCAGCTGGGATGCTATTACTGAAGGGACTCAAGGAACAGGGCCGCCTAGGAAGATTTTTTGGACAAGTAACTATACGTGATCAGCCACCATCAAATACGATTCAGAAGATTGTAGCTCTAAAAATGGCCATGCGAGACATGGAAATGTATATCCAGAATCTGAATGTTTCACTTCTGAAAATACGAACAATTTTTCTTGCTGGACAACCTCAGGTATGCCGGCTCATGATAGAACTAGTTGTAATTTGGCATCATGTATCTATGTGACTTTGCATGAACAATCATGTTTATTAGCTCTTTTATACTGATGCACAGAATATGCTTTTTCTATAGAATAAATAAAAAATAAAAATAAAAAAATAAATAATGAAAGACATGCTTAAACATATTTCTTTTATATATTAGTTGTTAGCAGCATCAATTTCTTTGATATGCATCGTTAAGAACCTCTCCTTCACCTCGTAAGGACAAAAAATCACCAGCAATTAATGTTCTATGCAATTAGTTCTTGGGGAGAAGATGCCACGAGGGTATTTTCAGCCTTGTTTTTGCTCCTTGAGAATTACTTACAATTTTATGGTTACTATTCTTTTGATATTGAGCTTCTTGTGTTCTTAAGGATGATGAGACTTGCATCTAAATCCATTACGTACGTGTATGCAGTTATACCATTGTGTAATATCTAAAGTTCTGAACAAGTGTTTGAAGCATATCAGTTTTTATATTGTTCTGTTTTAAGATATATATGATACTTCAACAGTAATAAAATGTTTAATAATGGGAGTAACATTGTTGAATAATTGGTGCATTTTTTTTTTTAACATAAATAAAATATATATATTCTGGAATGCTTGTAGAGTAAATTAATATTTAACCTCACAACAGTGGTCTGTTTTTATGTCAAGCAGCTGAAGGAGTGCAAAATTAATTATAGTAATGATGTGCACCATCAGCCATGTGGTCGGGTGGCTGCCACTGGAGCTTATTCATCCTTGTAAGTAGACAATAGGACCGGCGTGATATTTAGTGCGACGTGTGGAACATGGCACATTTCGATTCAGAACACCTTTAGCAACCCAGGATCTTTCTTCTTTTTCCTTTTTTAAAGCAATATCATAAGTTATAAACCTAAACCTAATAAGATCTAAAGTTCTGGGAAAAGGTGAAATGCTCTCAACACATCAGTGAGTAGAGAAACTCATTCAATCTACAATACGTTTATCATCTTCTCCTGAATTATGCAATTTGAACTAAAATTTTCATGCTTTAACTTCTAAGTGAGCAACCAATATGTTCTATTCATGCCTACTCAAGATAATAGTTTTCAAGTTGAGGTGTGTCATACCTGATCCCATTCTGGTGTTACAAGATCATTTTATAGCAAACAGATAAAAGAACTTGTTGGATACTATTCTGTAAGGTGAGCAGCATCCTGCTTACCTGGTCCCCATTCTATATACTACATGACTATGTTCTAGCAATCTGATAAATACTTGTCAAGACTTGAGAAAGTCCTGTGAACTTGTTAAAATTCATACTTTTTACTGTCAGTTCTCTGGAAAATAAAGACTGCTCTCATTTTGTTGAAGGGAATCCATAAAAACATTTGGTTGTGTCTCTGTTTTACAAGTGTAGTCCTTAGTGCACTTCTTTCCCCCACTATCTCTCTTTCCCTCTCTCTAGAGAATATCTGCCCGTATGATGAAAAGGAACACTAAATTTCCACACAATTAATTTACGTTTATTTCGATTGTTCCTTCATATATCCCATTTCAGTCAACATTCTCTAGGAAAGTTTTTCTTGAAAATGCACGAGTCTTGATGCAAGGTAGTTGAGCCTGAGGCTTTGTGCGATTGAATAATGGAAGGCAGACTTTAAGAAATGATTAGGATTCCACTTGTATGCTGATAATTCCTTCACTTCTTGCTGTGTTGACTGGGCTCACTTCAGATACATTAGAAGTGTATTGCTTTTCTTTAGCCAGTTTTATTGAAGAGAGAGTTTTTGCCTCAAGGTTGGTTTGTGGAAGTGGGGATTGGGATAGATATTATTGTGGTGTTGACATCCATCTGGTGTTGTATGATTGATAGTGTCACGTCTGCTTACTTGGGCCTTCAGTTGGTTCAACCTCTGACGGAAAAGATGGTATGGGACCTGATCATTAAGAGTCTTGAGAGAAGATTGGCAAGTTGGAAAAGAACCTAATGTTTCTAAGAGAGTAGGCTGATTTTGTCTGGAGTATTCATTCAGGCTTTCTGTTATAGTTTGTCTCCCTTCACTAATTCTAGTATTCTAGTTATGGCTGAAGGCCACAAAATTCAGGCAGATCCTTTGTGACAAGAACAGGGGACTTAATAAATTGGATGTTGTCAGTCATCTTAAATAATTGAGTGAGGGGTTTTTAATGTTTATCGGAATGAGTGTGGTGCACTGGTGGGGACATGGCTTTGGCACTATGGATTAGATATGGACAGGCTGTGGAGGTTTGAAGTAGGAGGAAATGTAGGAAAACAAATTGTGGTTGGTAATGCAATGAGGTGAGAGTTGTCTTATAGCATGGATTTGGAAAGTAGGTTTAAATGATTTTAGAGAGGTGAATGTCTGATAATTAACTTATGGGTTAGATAAGTAACCAACGGGCTCTAGCGTAGATGGTATAAGCTCTCCTCCCCCTTTGGGGAGATTGAGTGTTCGAGCCGGTGGGTCCAAAAAGTATACAGTGGGTGTGCGTGTTTGCTTGAACTTTCAGGAAAAAAAAAAATAATAATAAAAAATAAAATAAAAAAATAAAATAAAATAAAATCTGATAAGCAGTGGAGACACAAGCTTTAGGCATGATACCTGCTGTGAATAGTCCCCTCATGATGTCATCTCTGATTTGTAATGACTTTATAGGTGAATGGAGATAGCGGCCTTTAGGCATGAGACCTGCTGTGAAAAGTCCCCTCGTGATTTCATCTCTGATTTGGAATTTTGTTCTTTTTTTCAGTAATTCTCTGATTTGTAAGTTATTCTGTCTTGCATAAAGGCAAAAGTAGGAAATTTAAAGTCTAGAAAGAATGGATGGTTTCTCGAAATGTAAATTTCATGGAGATGATTGGCAAGTATATTTGGCTGGTTCATTGTTGTAAATATTGTACCCTTTGGTTGGGAATTGGGGTGTGGGAAAAAGCATATATACAATTTTCCTTTTTATTTATCTATTTATTTTTGCTTGACCAAGTTGATTTTGTTTTAAAATCTTCTCAGATAACGATGGAGGTTGCTCTGGTCCTCTTACTAAGTTCAGCCATTCTCCTTGTTGTCCCTTTCAAATACATTCTTGCTTTTCTTCTCTTTGATTTCTTCACGCGGGAGCTCAAGTTTCGGAGGCAGATGGTTGTGAAATTCATGAGCCTTATGAAGGAGCGTTGGGACACTGTGCCTGCAGCCCCTGTGGTTGTATTACCATTTGAGGGTGACGAGACCGGAGCATTGAGTCAAAGAAAGCGTATTGATGACGGATCAAATTCAGAAAGAACTCGGAGCAGTAGTAAGTCTACATAAATTTTGAAATGTAGATTTACCGGTGTCATTAAAATCTAAGGATCCTTTCTTGAGTTTTTGGAAAACAAAAAATTTACCCATTACCCGTTATATTTTTATGTATATATAAATTAGAGTCTTGTTTTTATTCAAAATGCATGCCCATTCTTTATGACTGTTAAAACAATATTGTGTATTTTGTAGCTTATTGCCCTTTGTTTGATAATCATTTTATGCAGGACAATAAATAGAATCATTTTAAATGCATTGAGACAATTTCATAGTTATTTTGTTTCCAATATCTTTTTTTTTTTTTTTTTTTCATTAGTTTCTTTGTATTGCATTGAATATGAATCTATCCAAAAGTTGCATGTTCTTTAAAAATTTGTGAGAGTGACAATACAAAATGTTTCTCAGATCTCTTGAATTTCATCTGAATTGTTTGATAAAAAATATCCAAATTCCGGGATTCAGATTCTTCCAGCAATTTATAATTCTTGAATCTTGAATTTGTTTGTGTTGTTTGTGCAGCAGGGAAAGCATCTGAACATCAAATTCTGTGATTAACTCTGGTGCTGGCTTTTGATGCTTTAGGGGAAATACATACACATTTTATGTAATAATGAATGTAACCATAATTCACTCAGGAGTTGGAGCTATTCACTCACTCAGCTAGTGTGCTAATTATTGAAGTCAGTCTAATATTCATCTTTCTTTATAGAATATCATATAATTTTAGTTAATTTTTTATATTAATATTTTTTTCATAAAATATACATCTTTTTTGAGATAAAATATTTATTTTTATTTTTCGTCATTTGGCAAAGATTTAAGTTAATGTTGAGGTCGAGTCCATCGTGTGGAGCGTGTAAAATAGCTTACAGAAAATTAATGAATAAATTATTTTTGTTAGGTTTTGATTTTTTCTTTTTCGTAAATATTTTACGACAACCAAACACTAGAAAACACATAAAATATTTTATATTTTATGTTCAAACAAACGAGTCTTAATGTAAAGATCACTTAGAGTCCGTTTGGCATGCGTTTTGTTTTAGGCGTTTTGTTTTTGGATAATACAGGAACATTGTTTTTGTTATAGGAGTGTATCGGAAAAAAAAAATCGGAAGCACGTTTGGGAATGTTGTTTTGTTGTGGAATTGTTGGAAACATAAACATGTAAAATATATGTAAAATATAGTTTAAGGTCATAAACAGTTGTCAAAATAAGAAAAAATAATTTTTTTATGTTTTGGTTTTGGGCTACCATTCAGGAAGTGTTTTAGCATTGTGTAAAATAAAACAAGGTCGCACAAAATATGTTTTTATTGTCAAAATCGACGCTGTAGTACAAAAAAAAAAAATAACATAAACAAAATGCATGTCAAAGGGGCTTTGGAGATCTTGATAGAAACACACACAAATGTGTAAATATCTTGATATAAAGAATGATTAATACATCAAAATGTAATTGGTAAACTTATCATCATGAAAAATGCTAGTACAAGGATCCACAATCTTTGAGGAAAGTCCATTAAGCCCTCTGATCCATTACAAACAAGCTGGTTATCATGATATGTGCAGGCCGTTTTATTCCTATAGTCAAAACACCATCAACTGTTAGAGAACATAGTGAAACAACACACAGTAACACAGAACATATGCTTCTTTGCTTGTTTTGTAGACTAATGTTTAGGTTGTTGGCCCAAGTGTAGTAAACATACCATGTAAGGAAATAAAATTAGCCCATTTTGCCACTGACCATATAGTTGCATGAAAAACTCAATTTCACTGTGATTTACACCAGTGTTTATGTCAATTTCTGGCCTAAATTGCATGAAAAATATGTTTACATACCTTGAAGAACAGAATGTGACAACGTAGTCAGTGGCAGAGCAAGTCAGAATGCTCGTAGGATCGTCGTGAGCGTAGCTATACGCTGCAGGGCATGCTGCTTTGAAGCTTTTCGAATAATTTGTAGGCAAACATGTAATGGGATTAGAGTACATTCCCCTGCAACAGTACTCGTCGGTGTTGAACACGTTACACGCACTCCGGCAGGCGATGATCTTCCCGTTGGGTTTAAAAGCGAGCTCCGAGGGACAGTTGACCCTCAAGTCGCTGTCACAACCCGCGGCACTGCAATTTCCTTTGCCATTAAGGGGTGTGACAACTAGTGGCAAGTTGAAGCCGTCGACAAGGCTAACATCGTAATAATCGAGTTCTCCGAGGGTAAACTCGGCAATGGAGGCGGGTGGCTCGCCGGGACCTCCACATTTTAGGGAGCTACCGCAGCTGCCAGTTTGGCACGTGCCGTTGCTGTCTTTGTCGAAATTGCAACCGGTCCGGGCCCATATCCTGCCACCCCAAGTGTCCGAGGGTGTGAAGATGGCAGATTGGCCTGGTTTGAGTTCAAAGCCACTGAAATTGTCATTTGGTGTTATTCCGGGCCATATGGTCTCTTTGCAGTCATTTACTATGTTGAAATTCCTACACTCGGACAATTGTAAACCTGTCAAATTACATGCAAAGAAGTTAAAATCTCATTATAGACAAAATGCGCGTGTGAGTAACTTGTCAAAGTAAAATAAATAAATAAATAGATAAGAAATTGAAAATTGTTATGAAGCATAAAAATGTATATTTCTTTTATTTTCTCGAGAACCAAACAAGTCTGAAGAGAGAATTTACCTGCTGCAATAATAACCAGTATATACAAGACTGTTGGAAGGACAATATGAAGGGAAGTCATCTCTCACACTCTATCTCTCTCTCTACTAGTAGGCTGTGAGTGAACTCAAGCGTAGGAAGATGTGTGCTTATATGAGTATAAAATATACAAAAAGAATGGAAGAATACGTGCTGAGAGAAGTGTGGGCAACCCAAAAAGGTTCCTTCCTTCGTCCCATAACCAAATGATTCCTAACTTCAAACAATTTCTATCATACTTCTTACTTCACTCCTATTTTGTGACTTGTGAGTGTCAATGTAGGCAACAAGTTCATAAACGGGATTGTTTAATAACAGATACTCTCCTATCATATCTTGAAAGTTAAGAGTTCGAATCTCCTTAGGGACACTTTAAAGATAATTTCTCATTAATTGCCCAGTACATATGGGATATGGGACTATATGTGCTCACTAGTGAATTTATGGGTGCTTTAACAGATCAGATCTTGATAGTTAGCTCTTGATTTTCCAGTAAGAAATTGACGTTGATGAAGGCGTGTAGGTGCACTATTCTGGGGTGGGGATTGTAACTTTCCATAAATTTCTCATTTGTTATTGGATAACAAAACTTTACTTATTTATTTTTTTAAGGATCAACGAATCAAATAATATTTTTGTTCCAATTTTTGCATTGGTGGTATTGTTGACAAAAATAAATAAAAACTTAAAAACAAAAAACCCAACAAATTTCATTCCATGTTTCTTTAGAACACTTTAATTAGAGTACTTTTTAAATTAGGTTCATAATATGTGACTAAAAGTTCTATGAGTAAAATACACTACATTTGAGCATTCCTCTCTATCATGAAATTTTTTTCTTGATACTTGGGTATAAAAATTAATGGCTCAATTTAGTTTCCTCTTATCACCTGAACTATAGATTCAAATGAAATTTATTGGATGAAGGACCCTCTAGCTCTAGGATAAAATTTTTTATAGAATTTTTTAATTCCGACAAATTGCATCAACATTTCAAACAATTTAACTGCATTTTATTGTGAAATTAAATAGTAATAATTCATGATTTCATCTTATAAAATAAAATTCTCTTCTTTTTTTTTTTTTTTTTTTTTTTCAAATTCTAACATATTTTAAAATCCATAATTCCAAATATAGGTCGTGTGGGGGCATATATGTAATTCAATAGTAGTTGTTGTTGTTTTTTGTTTTAACAATGTCGGACTACATACCGGACGAAGTGATGATGGAAATTCTGGGAAGACTACCGGCCAGAACTCTTCTTCGTTTCAGGTGTGTATGTAAATCTTGGTGTTCTCTGATCAGTAGTGAGAATTTTGTTACCTTTTGGTTCAATCTTACCACACATTTGAACAACATGAACAACACTCACCTACTTCTCCTCGAGTACTACTCTCAACTTCATGAACGAACATTTTTCCTTGCATCTTGATGATGAATCCCTCACTGAGTACCCTTTGAATCTAGAAAATTCTCCAGTTGCAAGCATTTGTCCCTGTTTAACTATGCTTGGTTCTTGCAATGGCTTGGTATGCGTTGCTGATGATATACGGGTCTTTCCGGATTGAAGTTTATATTTGTGGAACCCCACTATTAGGAAAATTGTTGTACTTCCAAGACCTCGCATCACCTTCCGTTCACACGGCAAGTTTGATCGTGTTCTTGGATTCGGATTCGATTCCACAAGGAATGACTATAAGGTTGTTAGAATTGTTTATATTTCTGGTGGCACTGAGGTTTGACATTTTTTCTCTTAAAGAGGGTGTTTGGAGAAACATTAGTGTACCTAGTCTGGTACCTCGTATCGGTTTTGATCCATTTCATGCCTATCTCAATGGGGCTATCCATTGGGTTTCTGGAGGCGACGATCATCGCCTGTACATTGTGTTATTCAATTTGGGTACTGAAGTATTTTCAGAGATGGAGCTACCAACGAGTCTACCACATAGTTTGTCTTGTGCGGTGTTTCAAGACTCACTTTGTGCGTTCCACATTGATTCTTATGAATGCAAAGTGTCAGTCTGGGTGATGAAAGAATATGGTGTTGTGGAGTCATGGACCAATTTGTTTAATATTGATTATAGTAGAGGATTTGATTTGAGAGAAGTGGGGCCATTGTCCAATTGGTTTAATCTTGATTCTAGTATACCGTCTGGACACAATGTTCGGGTTATAGGGTTGAGGAGGAATGGTGAAGTTGTTTTGGTAAAAGATGGGTGGATGATTTCAGTTGACATAAAGGCTCGAACATTCGAGTATCTAGGATTCCGTGGATATGATGCAGCACTTTCTGTCAATACTTACACAGAGAGCTTAGTCTTGATTGACAAAGCAAATGGATTGCAAGAAGGATGATTGAAGGAGCAGGCAAGATATATATATGACATAGCAGTGGAGTATTAGCTACAGTTCCAATGTTGATTTTATTTGTTACCTTATTTGGTTTCACTACTTCTTGTCATATCAGTAGTATCTTATTTAGACAGGGCTGGAGTACGTTAACACTTTATTTTAAATGATGATGTACCTAGCTCGACTAATGGTTCATTTGTGGCTAATATTCAACTCATATGGGAATAATTTATATGATAGAAGTGGCTAGCAGGGATAAAGACAGCCATTTTGCTTATCATGGCTTCTATATGCCATGTTGAAAATGTATTTTGTTCATACTCCCTTGCTTTGTGTGTGTGTGTCTTTTTTTTTTTTTTTTTTTTTTTTTTTTTTTTTTTTTAATGCCATTTTCTGGAATGAATTTAATGGGAGTTTTACCAAGCGGCTTTTGTTTGTTTTTTGACATTAAAAAAGAATGCCTTGAGCTGGATTTTTATGTTGTATGTGGCTGGGTAAATAAGAATTGTATTCATCTATTCTATAATCTGAATTTGATGTATACTGTTCTGGTTGTATTGAAGCAACAGAGAATTGACGAGGAAAATGTTTTTGAGTTTAAGAAGATGGGTAAAGCACCACGTTCCTTTGGGAATGCACATAGTGCGCGGAGAGTATTACATGTGATGGTTATAGTAATACAGTGCATTTAGTGGCTAGCTGCATAGTAGGATAGAACTTTTTACTGTTTTTAGTTGTTAACTGGATGGTGGTTCTCTCATATGGTTTTCATGGCTGCCTTATGCATAGCATTTGTTATTTAAGTTTTGGGGTTTTAAACAATTGTTTCAGTTGAAGGTTTATCCTCATGGAAGCTTCTCTTTCTATGTTGCGAGGTCTGTTGCTTTTTGCTTCTGCTGTTAGGTTGTCAATGTATGGCGTGCCATAAGTCTGGCTTGTCTGTTTCTTCTGCTTTGAACTTTCCTTTATATAACTAATCTGGTCTACAAGCTCCCGATTGATGGATTTTGACTTTATATCATAACTGGGAAGATAAGGATGCAGGATACAAGGCACTTCATCTGGTGTTGTTGTGTCAGTAATTCAGGGGAGCTGCTTTTGGAGTGATTCACGCTGGTATTCAATTCGACATTTCGCTGCTGTTGTAACTTTTTGTCTTGCCCCATCCGTGCTTTGGTCTTCATTTGCTACCGACCACCTTGCACTAGCATTGAACTTTGAAATGGTTTATTCTGGCTCACTGAACATGTGTTTAAGGTCTATGATTTATGCCTATCGTGCACGAGATGATCAATGTGAAAATATTTTGTGCTAGATGGATGTCAAAACATAGCATCTGTAGTTTGTTGCACATAGCATCTTATTTCAGGAACTTTTAGCGGTCAGCAGCTGAGTTTGTAGTGCCTTGTGATTTTCTATACTTGAGTTTGGCTATTGTGGCTTCTGGGGTGGAGTTTTTTAGTTGTTCTTGTGCCGAATTTGGAGATTTTTCGGGACATTTTCTACATCTTTGATTACTAAGGAGAGTGCCATATGGTATTCCTTGGTTCTGCTGCTCAGTGGAGGTTGTTCTCTAGGTTTTGGTACAGCAAAATCAGTATTATGATTGTTTGTCCATCATTCAAACTCAGTTGAAATTAGATCGATGAGATTAATTTTAGCAATTGGGCAAAACATCCCAGTTGCTCAAACTTTAGGATGTAATATGATATTTCGATTCGTCATGGATAAATCCCAATTTTTAACTCATTGTTGATTGAAAATCGTATGTCCTGATTCACCACATCATTAGAGGTACCAAGTTTGCATTCTTTGGTATCATTGTATAATTACACTGTTAGTCTTCTCCATCTTATATTGGGACTTTTGAAGCTGAAAAAAGAATGGAGGAAAATCAAATAAAACGGTTTGGGTTTGGACAAGGTTCCGGGAAAAATAAATAAATAAATAAAATTGAATAAAATAACTGGATGCTTGTAAATTAAGCTTTACACAGAATGGATTAAAATTGATTTTGGAATTGGTTGAGCTTTAGAGTATGTGAAGAAGGATTTGCTTCAAATGCTAAAGGGTTAAGTGCAAAAAAACCCCGGATATATAGGGTTTGTGCATAACTAGTCCCTACTTTTTGAAAATTTGCATATTAATCTATAGAATTTAAAAAAGGTGCAAATAAGCCCCTCTGACCACCTTTTTACAAAAAGTAAACATGAAAACCATATTTTACCCTTTCGATTCCCATTTTGCCCCTCACCCATATGTGCATATAACCACCCCCCCCCCCTTTAATTTCTTTCTCCATATCTGTTGTTTATTTCCTCTCTTTATTTCTGCTTCTGTTTCTTTCCTCTCTTTATTTCTTTATTTATCCATATCTGCTCCATTTCTTTCTTTATCCATATCTGCACACTAATTATATTATTAATTGTCTCAAAAAATTTATTCATTTACTCCAAAACATGCCATCATCTTCAAGCTCAAGAAACCATTGTCCATATGGGAGGTCAGTGAAAGAATATTATTGTAAATGTGGAGTTAAAAGTCCATTGAAGGTGTCATCTACCCAACGAAATCCTTGTAGATGGTTTTACGGGTGCGCAAACTACAGGACTGGTTCGTGTGATTTTTTAAGGTGGGAGGATGATGAACTGCCCGATTATTACCGTAAATTGATTTGGAATCTTATGACAAAGATACGAGAGCTGCGGGACTTGCAAAGAGCTGATTCTCCATTAGTTGCTCAAGCTCCAACCATGATAGCAGAATTAAGATAAATGAAGAACATTGGATTTGCCTAACCTAAAAGAAGATGCTTACCTCAGTTTAATGATTCCATTCTCAATTTTCTTTTGGGGTTCTTTACTTGTGTTGTATTGTTCAAGCTAGTAATGTGAAACATTGTAATGTTCTGATGTTTTCCATCAAGCATAATGTGTTTAAATGCAAGTAGGGGACTGTTTTAATGCAAGTACAACCTGTTTGAATGCAACTACAACCTGTTTGAATGCAACTCAATCAGATGAATTAAAGGACTTTTTCCTCAACAAGAAGACATCCAATCTGTAAGTGAGAGCTCCACTGACCCCTACCTATCCAAACATACACAACCTGTTTGAATGCAACTACAACAGATTTAAATGCAACCACAACAGGCTTTAAAGTAAACATTGTACCCAATAACACAGACATACATAGATAACTTAAGACACACCTACTGCACCACCCATTTAATGGTGAGCAACCATTCAATAATGACCAACTATAGCCTACACCACCCATTCAATGACAATAACTTAAATAATCACAACCACCAACAACATAGACATACATAATTTACCCAAAAAAAAAAAAAACACAGACATACATAGATACTGGTCAATAGTTCCCCAACAAATAAGTGATACAAAATATTAGAAATTGGTCTACAGTTCCCCAAAAACACAGAAATACATAGATATTGCTCCATAGTTCCCCAACAACATAACACATACATACATATTATTGTTCATATCCATTCAAACAGATAATTAAAAACAAAAACAACAGTTGTCCATTTGTTCATCCATGAATCAAATACACAAAAAATTACTTCAAATTTACCATACAAGTCACATATTGTCCACTAGCAAAAGGCAACACCTTGGAATGAAGTAATTTGAATCTTGGATCAAACAAAGGCAACAGTTTTAGATAGTGGAATCTGCAACAAATAAGTGATACAAAATAATTAAAATTGCCCTAAGCAAGTATGTGTTTTGAATGGAAAAGAAGTAAAATTGAAAATTCATTTACTTGAAACCACCAATCTTGGCTTTCTTTAGTACATACCATTCCCTAATGTATGTGGCATGTCAAGAATCTGAGATTAAGAAACATTGATAACCTATAAAGATGGTAAAGTTAAAGTTAAAGTTAAAGTTAAAGTTGACTTGATAACACTTGTAAAATAAAAACAAAAATTAATATAAATCAATACATATACCTCACTGTTGATCCCACTAGCCATCACTGGGACAACAGTCAAGTTGCCTGCACCAATGTCAACATTTACAACCCTACCACTGCCACCACCCCTGCCTCTCACAACACCTCTACCTATCCCACTTCCCACAATTTCACTGAAGTACTTCCCACAACATTGTTACTCCCAACACCTCTACCAATGCAATTCGTACTCGCAACACCACTGCCTCTCACTGAAGTACTTCCCATAGCATTGTTACTCCCAACACCTCTTCCAATACCATTCATCCCCACAGTAATGCCAACACCTCTACCAGTCCCATTAAGAATAGTTTCACTAGCCTTTTGAACATGTAATACTCCAAGTTGAGGGTTTTTGGGTCTACCTCCTTTGCTTTTAGGTGGTCCTCTCTGCACTTGTTCATTTTTGTAGGTCATTGAGTTGTGATCAGTTAATTTACATCTTCCACAAATAAGGTGAGCCCTTTGTTTGTACACGTGTTTTTCCACTTGATGTACCTTCATCACGAGCTTTCTTCCTTATTTTATTTGCCCTGCCTGGGGGGGGGGGGGGGAGGGGGGGGGGGGGGGTCCTAGCTATAGGATAAATCATTAGAACCACCCCAGTTACTTCTCTTATATTTCTCAATGTCATTGGATATACCATCCCTCCGTATGACTTCAAGAATGTTTCCCTATAAAAGTATGGGTCAACAAACTCTTCAAGAACTGCCCCTCTTCTCTTTTGTATAGCTGCACATGCATGCTTACATTGGATACCTGTGACATCCTATGCCCTACAACTACAGGGTTTCTTTTTTTTTATTTTTTTATTTTTTTATTTTTTATCATTTAAGTCAACAGTTTCATTCATTCCTCCATCTTCAACCACATAAATGGCTTTTCCAGAGAGGTGAGCAAGACAACCTATTGAGTACCCCTTGTTTAGTTTTAGCTGAGCTGCTAGAGCTGGACACAACAACCCCTCTTTCCCCTCCATGTACTCCTTTTTCTCTTGATACATCCTCAACAATGACTTT